TTTTGTTTGACACTCGTACACAACGAAGATGCCATTTCTGAATGACCGGCCATTGTTTTGTCAGTATTCAGTCAGTCAAGTTTATTGGTGATTCTGCAACCAAGGACTACTCCACTGAGCACTATTTGTTTGTGTAGTGAAACATTGTGAACTGGCTTATCGGACCACTTTTATTGACACAGTTTGCAAGTTAAACAACCAGCTGTGCGTGTGTCAGTGGCAGCCAGCGACTTGTGCTTTATTCATTCATTATAATTAAGTTGCCATCAGTAATAGTATTGAGGTCTGACTTTGGCAAATCAACTTGAATTCAGTGCCAATCGTGTGTGTAGTTTGCTAGAAAGTGTAGGCCTTAATTGTGAGCCGTCAAGTGTTGTTGCTGCTCTTTTTTCTTATCTCATCTTTGTGCTATGTCATTAAAACATCATCATCATCCAAAAGGTTAAAAATCGTTTAGGAAACTCTGTAGACTCTGTACTAGTCAGCGGTAGTGCAAAAACAAAAAGGAAGCCCATTCAAACTTGCAAAAGAAAAAGAGAAAAGACAAAGCAAAAAGAGATCGTCTTGAAACAACAGACAAGTCAGTCAGACTTGTGCACACGAAATGATCAGCAGCAATCCCTGTCGCAAATTGCGATTAACCCTGAAAGCGATTGTGCTGGAATGTGAGCTTCTTCTGTGCCTGTCACTGATCTGGAAACAATCGAGGTGCTCTTCGCAGTTGCCATTGTCTCATATTCTGTTTGCTCTGTTTGCTTTTATTAGTCGGTGTGGGACGCTGAGGTAATATAGCATCAAAGCAGCTGCAACAGCAAAAGAGGCAGCAGCGATCATTCACACTGCAATCGATTGCCATTTCTCTATGCCTTCTTTAGCATCACCACCACCACTGGCCTTCACAGTTCATGTTCAGCAGTAGTTGATGTGCATTCAACTGATTTGATGCACTATGCATAAACGCATGTTTTTGTATTGTACTGTACGCTGAGCACACTGTGGCAGTGGCCTTCTTGCTACCGATTTTCAATGGCTGATCTCAGTTCACCTCTTTTAGACACGATGCTTTGCCAAGTCAATCGTCAATCGAGTAAGAAAGTATTTCTCTCTCTCCCTCTTTGGCTGGCCCTAAAGTAGAGGCATATTGAAGGTATTTTTTTTGTTGTGGTTCTGTTTTTGTTTCTGGTCCAAGTCGGTGTTTCTATTTTGTTAGTGATTGTTGTTGCCTCTTTCATTTAAAGTGCTCCAGTGAGACAGAAAAAGAAAGCCATACAGCTGAACAGCGACCTATTGCCGATTATGCAGACGGACAGTGGAGTTGAGCAGAGCAGAAACACGAGCGCCACTGACTGACTGATCTGAAGCAGCAGCAGCATCTTCTCCTCTTTGTGAAGTTTTTTTCGTCTGCGTCGAGGCGAAGACGGCGGTTTCTGAAGAGAGCGGCAGCCGAAAAAATCAAAGAGTTAAAGGGAGCGAGATGGCGTGAGCCGCCGACCGTGCTGAAGACGTGCCAGAGCCACTGACAGCAGCAGGCACAGAGGACACAGAGTGCACAGCGCAGTCCATGAGGACAACGACTATCATTAGGAACGAAACGTCGAAAACTTGCCATGCCACCACAACAGGCTTACAGGTAGTGAAAGAGAGAAAAAGAGAAGGATGGAGAGAGGGAGAGGGAGAGAGAGGCAGCACAAGCAACAGCCAAGACTGTCAGCAGAACATCGGCGACGGCTGGCGCCAAGCCTGCTTTTCTGCTTGCCTACTACCTGTGTGTGCCGCTGACCGCCACTCGGCGGCAACTTACCTGCTGGTAATAGAAGTGGCTCTCTGTGCGCCTACCTGCCTCGATTGTTTTGCTTTCCTTCTTTTTTTCTTCTCACTCCTTGGACATTCGGACACTTTGTTTACCAGCAAACCATCTCTGTTCTTGTGGGGCAAACAACAACTCCCTCTCTGTCCGAGCTGTGTGTGCAAACAAAGCCACGATCGCTCGATATCGTTGGCAGAGCATCTCGGTCAACAGGCAACTCTACTAGGCAGGTCTACTAGGCAAGCTGCACTGCCACAAGCCACTCACCACCTACCCTAGATATCTAGAACTACTCTACTTTAGAAGCAATTTTACCTCTTCAGCTTTGGCCCTCATTCAAAAGTGCCTCTTTCACCAATCATCGCTTCAATTGAAAGCAGTGATTGTATTTTATTCCACTTTTCATTGGTGCTTGTGTGACTGGGATGTGACAGCCAACTTAAAGTGAGACAACGGGGTGAGTTAATGCACCATTTAAGTCTGATCATGAAAAGAATAAAGTGTCGCCAAAACTGTCAATTTTTTCTTCTTCAATGCGTTTTATAAAATAAACAGTTAATAAAATAACAGTGCGGCAGTGTGTTTTTAGTTGATGGCAACCGCTTTACTTCAGTTTAGAAAAAAACCACTCCCACTGCCAATCAAGCGAACACAATCTAAAAGTATTTCTAAATGAGTAGATCAGTTCAAAAAGCAGAAACTAACTTTGGATGCCCTCTTCTACGCTTTTATTCCCTTTTTTGAATATTATTTTTTAATTATTACATTTTCATTAAAAAACATGGTTTTTTAGTGGAATTGTTTTAGTACACCTGTCGCTATTTTATTAATCTGACATTTCACTGACCAATATTTGAGCGACCATTAAAATTATTAAGTTAGGTTAGTTTAAAGAGTTAACCTTATAAAAGAATGACAGCGATATTAACTACAATTGTTTTTGCAAAAAAGCTTTTGTGTGCATCTCGTGTGTGTCATTTTTATTTAACACTAACAACTTCGATGTAATAATGAGGACGAGTTGCTGTCGGTAGGAGCAAGTGACTATGATTCACACAGCCGGACAGTAATAATCAAACCCAACATTAACCCACTTTGAATGCATGAGAAAGAAAATAGCATCGGTAGAAAGATGCACAGCAATTTAGCTCTCAATCAAGACAAAATCCTTTTCGCAGCGAAATGAAATGTGCTGTTGCAGAAGTCTCGTCCTAATCTGCTTTTCTCTGCTGATGCCCATTTCTGGTCATTTATTGTCTCAACGTGACAACAACAAGGAAGGAGATTTTCCGAAAAGATTTGCAATCACTGTCTTCATCTTGCCCCTTCACTGCAGTTGTACACAACACAATTGTCCACTTAATTATCTCTCTGTTCTAATGTTCAAGTTTAATGTTGACTAAAACAATGAATTGTACAATCCTTTGGTCAATTTTTTGCATGGTAATGACAATGAAAATCATTCTGTTAGTGTATTTTCTCTCACCACTTTTTTCTGGCTTTGTGCTCCATAATCAGTAATTGATCAAGTACACCAAACACTTTGTGCCGATTAATGAATCAGTCTTGCCGAGCACATTTTAATTACCCCGTTATTGACAAAAACAAATAGAAAACAGATTTGTTAAGGAAAAACAGCATCAGCAACAGAATCCAAACCTTGCTACAACAGTAACACAAAGTAAACTGAATCATTTGTTTGTAGCGCCTATTTGAGGACACATCTATATTTAGAGTGACAGTCAGAGTGAAGCCAAAGCCAATTATTGACAAGTCTATGAAACCGAATCCGGTGACAACGGCGTTGACACTGTTTCTGCAGTGAGTAAAACTTGTCCCCTTTTTGAATTGTTTCCGGAATGGAGAGTTTCTCTTTCTCTCTCTCCACTGGCTGATAAGTGACTCCACTAACTTGTGTGGAAGCTCTCTCTCACCTCTCAAGTCAGCGTCGAACACCCGGTAGTTTTGTCGTCAGCGACGTCGCCTGCTAATTGCCTTTGTCCGTCCATTTGTCTTGTTGATTCATGACGCAACCAAACACACTGAATGCACATGCATCCTTGCACTAATTGCTACAGTTGCCCATCTTGGCAGTTCTCTTCTGTTTTCTCTCTTACACATCTATCGCACTGTCAGTCATGTGCTCGACTCAAACTCGTCTCAGTTGAACTGCAGCTGAACCATTTTCTTGTTTTTGTCAAGAGTGTATGTGCAGTACCAATTCAATTTTATCTTTTTCAGAGACATTTTTCTTTTCTTTACTTTTTATTATCTTTTTTGACCAATTGTGCCAACAACACCACCAGCACTTCTACCTTTTTACTAACTCCAGTTGTCTGGCTTTGTTTTTATTTCATTTCAGATTCATATCACTCCCTTCTTTCGGCTCGTATTCTTTACGGGCGCAATGATACTTCAAAATGTAGCAACAAGGTTTTCTAGGTAAGTCTGCCTGTTTCTCGCCTTTTTTTCACTTTTACTCACTTTTTTTTATACTTTTAGGTGACACAAGTGCGTTTCCAAAACCCTCCTGGCGTCATCACTTGACTTTGCAGTGGGCACTGCGCTGGTCCCGTGTCGCTGCAGTGTCCATTAGGTGGGCAGTATATTTTCATGCCAGCACCCCATCAAACTTTATCCCACTGATGGAACAAAAATAGCACTTGGTCGGTGTCAATTTGGAGAAACCCTCTTTCAGTCACTTAACTGCAGCCTGACTACCTACTGAAGCACTTTTTCTCGGCACTCTCTTGTCTTCTTTTGGCACACTTCACTTCCGCTGTTGGTGTTTTCAAGAAGCGCTTCTTTCTCTGAGCCCATTACCTTTCCCTTCACTGCCCGTTCAGTCAGCCCATCTAGCAATCACGATGACCGCCCGTGTCCCAACACAGACCGACGTCAACACCAGTCAGTGGTACGTGAACATCTCTCTCAATTTTTTTTCGTTGTTGCACTTTTGTGGTCATTAGTGATTTCATATTTTCGATCTAACTTCTCACTGTTCATTTGTTATTCCGCAACCTTTTGTAGGATGTACTCATTGATGGATTCCTCTCGCGTCTCCACTTTTCTCATTCCCATGTTACTAATAGTGTACGGCAGTTTTAGGTAAGAGCATTTTACTTTTTTTTGTATTTACCAAGTTTAAATTTGACACACTGAAAATATTTTTTTCATTGGCAGATCGCTAAACATGGAACAAGAAGCAAAACTAAAGGAAAAAGAAAACTGCTCCAAAGACGGCTGCTCTGACAGTAAGTAAAGAGGAGGAACTTGTAGAATATTTTAATTGCCTTTGTTGTTAACTTCACGTAAAGTGCTAACTTTTTCCTCTCATCTAGATGTGCAAACGCTGGACACTGTACAGGCACTGTGTTTGCCATTAGGCGCCTCAGTGTCTCTACTTGTGATGTTTTTCTTTTTCGATTCTATGCAAATGCTCTTTGCAATTTGCACTGCAAGTATGTGTTGCTTTCGTTCACTCAACAACAACAACAACTAACCATCGCATTTCTAAAATATCCGCACAGTAATCGCTGCAATAGCTTTGGCATTTTTACTTCTACCAATGTGCCAGTACATAATGAAACCGTGTACAGAAAAGAAAAAGTGAGTTGCTTTTTAGCGTTGTGTGTTTTTAGTAACTAAATAAAATGACATCTATTTATGCTGAATAGGATCTCTCTGGGCTTTTGTGGTCGCTTCACGCCCGCCGAACTAGTCGCATTTTCACTGTCCGTGTCAATTGTCTGCATTTGGGTGCTCACCGGACACTGGCTGCTGATGGACGCCATGGGCATGGGCCTCTGTGTCGCCTTCATCGCCTTTGTCCGTCTGCCCAGTCTGAAGGTGTCCACACTGCTCCTCACCGGCCTCCTCATCTACGACGTCTTCTGGGTCTTCTTCTCTTCCTACATCTTCTCCTCCAATGTGATGGTTCGTGTGGCCACCAAAACGGCCGACAACCCTGTGAATCTGGTGGCGAAGCGCTTACATCTCAACGGGGCAAAAGACGTGCCCAAGTTGTCTCTGCCGGGCAAGTTAGTCTTTCCCAGCATGCAAAATTCGGGCCACTTTTCCATGCTCGGTCTAGGCGACATTGTGATGCCAGGTTTGCTGTTGTGCTTTGTCCTGAGGTATGACGCGTACAAGCGAGCACAGCTCAACTCGGCAGAGTCGGGCGTCCCACCGCCTAAGCACTTCAATCGCATAACCTACTTTCATTGTTCGCTCATTGGCTACTTTTTCGGTGAGTTTCCTAGCAATATTTTTAGCAATTTTATTACTGACAATGTTTTTTATTCAGGTCTACTCACCGCAACAGTGTCATCTGAAGTGTTTAAAGCTGCCCAACCTGCACTCCTTTATCTGGTCCCATTCACGTTGCTTCCACTGCTAACGATGGCTTATCTGAAGGTAGTTGCTTAAACACTTTTACTAGTTTGCTAACGTCTATCCACATTGTTTTTTTACTACAGGGTGATTTACGACGAATGTGGAGTGAGCCATTTATTGCGACGACTTTGCCAAAGAATTTAGATGTTTAATTCTGGCAATATTTCTCTTACTTTGCTTTAATTTCAATGTGATCTTCTCGTTCTTTCTTTTTTCCATTATTCTCCTACGTTTTCATCTTTTTTCTCTTTAACGCCCTCCTTTAATTGTGATCTACTTTCATTTTTGTACTTTTGATGCAAACGACGTGCAATTTTTTATTTCTAGGTTTGTACCTTGTTTTACTTTGTTTTACTATTCGTTGTAACCTATTTTTTTACAGTACCCTTTTCAAATTATTTGCGGCGCACAACCATCAGTGCATTTAACGCCATTCTTTTGATCTGTTGTGTTCATTTATACTTTCTATCTTCTGGCCCCATCAAAACACACCTATTATTTTGGCAAAATGTCCATTTCAAAAAGCGCAAGCAGCAGTGATGACCATACTCAAAAAGAATTGTCAGTTGTTACTTTGAAACATTCTAACCAAGTCTGCTCTGATCATCCCCATTTTCACTACCACCACCATTTTTATCACACTCGTCCATTACAATTCATTCTGGAATGTACTATAATCCGGCGTCACCCATTTTTATTATTTGTTTTCAAAAATGTGTACATTGCTATCACTGTAAATTATTTTTCTATATTCACTTGAGAATCAGCATCATATTTTTCTTGAAACGCTGCCCCTACTTAAAACAACCTAAACATACTCGAACATCAAACAAAGACTTTTGTTTTTGTTGCCTGTAAATTACCGACATGATTCCAAATTCAAATTGCTCACCATTTGTATCGTTTGTACATTGACCATCATCCAAGTTCCACTTAGGCAATACACCAAAACTGCAACTTTTCTAGTGATCAAAATTGTAATACAAACACACACAAATCTCAGGTGTTTCGCCCAGCAGTCGAACCGTAAAACAGCAACAAACCAAATAATTTTGATGCGATACGTTTAACCCTAGTGAGACCTTTTTTATTGAAGCATTTGCATTTAGTTTTTCATTTTGAAAATTGGGCATTTGCAATTTAAAAAAGTTGCAAAAAAAAATGTTAACAAAATAAAGCTGATGAATCTCAACCAATAACTGAGTGCATGATCTTGTTGTGTGTTTAGAAGTGGAATACAGTTAAGGCAGTATCATCATATTAAAAGTATTTGCGCATCATTTTTCTTTGATAGTTTGTGTTTGCACAAGCAGTCTGATTACGAAGGCACGTGTTGACATTGCTTTTTTTGCTTGGTGACTGGCGATACAGTTACGAAATGGAGCGCACACCGATTACTTGGAAAGCGAATCNCTTGTTGTGTGTTTAGAAGTGGAATACAGTTAAGGCAGTATCATCATATTAAAAGTATTTGCGTATCATTTTTCTTTGATAGTTTGTGTTTGCACAAGCAGTCTGATTACGAAGGCACGTGTTGACATTGCTTTTTTTGCTTGGTGACTGGCGATACAGTTACGAAATGGAGCGCACACCGATTACTTGGAAAGCGAATCAGCCAAGAAGTGTGTCAATGCTACGGATGCGCTGGTAGCACTGCATTTACAACAACGTGCACACGTTTCTAGAGGTCAATGGGCACTCCTGTTGTGACAGTACTGGAACAATACAGCAGTACATCGATGCTCTCTGGACTGGCAGTTAGAAATGTTAAAGCAAGTAAAATAAAGCAAATGGCAACTTCTACCTCCTGCATCGGCTGTCTGTGAATATCCGCGGTTGGCCTTTACTCAATTCATTTAGCTAATTAACCTCACCGGTAGCGATGGATAGCGAGTGCAGTGTTTATGTCAGCGGCACGTCACTGGCAACACCAGTTACGTCAATGGCTCGTCGTGCTCCAGAACACATGGAGAGCCATTGATGGTATGTGCCAGTGTGCTCCACCACATCTCTTTGAAAAACTCTACAGCTTGCTAATGAAGATTTGTGGTTGCCACTAGTATCGGCTGCTGATGTCTCTTGCTGTGCAGTACTGTTGACTTGAACTGTAGTTCTGCTTTCTGTCTATCACATTTGGTGTCCAATGGTGGTGGTGGTGGCTGTCGATGCGTCACTGTGACGCACTGCTAATTTGGTTCAGTAAAATTGCGCCAATGCAAAGCGCCTGACAGTGCAGGTGCCATTATGGCACTGCCGTAGCACTTTTCTTTTCAATGCCACTCACCAGCTGCGAGCATATGCTTTCAACAAAAGCAACAGCATCATCATTTGCCCCACTACATTTCTTTGTGTGCTGTCACTGTCAGTGCTTGTTCTTCTCTCTGATAAACTCCAGTCAGCTGGTGTTCACCTCTTCCGGCTGGTGTAACTTGTTTGTTCAACAAAAATATTATTTTCTATTGTGTTAATCAGTTTATAAACACCAATTTCTATGTCTAATTAATTTTGTTTTGTTATTGTGTGAAAAACCTGACATCTTCGCAAAAAATCAAACATTGTGTGTGTTAGTGACACCTCAGCACTGGTCAGCTATAAACAAAGTTTCTCTCTACTGCCATCAGTATACGTGTACACAAATTTTATAACCTCTTGTTGATTACTTGTTTGTGTCAGTTGTCCAGTAAGATTCATCTTTCTCTCTCACTCAGTCTTTCCTGCTGGACAAACTGGCGCAAATGAGTGCAGCACCATGTCAACTTTCGCATTCAAGCAAAGCAATGTCAATCATTCGAGCAACTTCATCTTCTGCACTGGTTTCTAACTTTAAGAAACTTTTTCGCGCCGCAACTTCTCATTCTTTGAACTCGACTAATTTTGCTGATGACCTAGAAGAAGGCCCAAGTTCACCTTTCACTGATGGACCGCTTACTGACAAGGATATTGACGAAGTGATCTTCTACTTGCTAGAAAAGCTCAACGATCACAGCGAAGAGCTCAACCGACTTTCTATTATGAAGGAGTCTGTTGAAAAACAGATAAAAAGTTTCCATCGCTGTCTGCTGAAGCAAATGTCACATATCAAGCACACCTATGGTACATAAGATAAACTTATCAACAGTTACAATTTTATAAACATACACAATTAATATTTACCAATTTTTATTATGTTACACAGGCAATCGGGCCGTGGCACTGCTGGAAATTTACTTTGAGAAAATGCTTCGACTTTGCATGCGTGATCTAGAGCTGCAACACTGCTACGAGATGCAATCAGATATGGAGGATGAACTGCACATTGCAGGCTCTACTATTGAACAATTTGACACTGAATTGGAAGCAGAAGAGGAAATTTGCTGGCAGCAAGAACATATTCTGCATGACAACAACTGTGAAAGCCAACTGGCAGAACACCTACAACCACCTTCACTGTTTGCCCTTGGTAGCAGCTGCAACAGCAGTGCAGCAACTTCTATCACTAGTGCAGCTCACTCCGAAATTGTTCAGAAAATGCGAGCCAAAATGCAAAACATTTGTGAGCAACTTGGCTCTTTACATGATAAAATTAGCGCCATCAAATCTATTCACGAAGCAGATCGTTCTAGTTTTGATCGGTTTTGCAAACTGAAGCAGCACGAACTGCAGCCAATGAAACCTCTGTGCAGCAAGTTTTTCGATACTCGAATGAGTTTGATGATGTTGAAGCCAAAGCTAGATCAACTCACTGTCAAGATTGATTGCACTCGACGCAGCTATTCTGCCACCATGAACGATCTGTACCTGGTAAGCTGCTACATTCGCCAGCGTAGTCCCAAGCAGGATAAGCAGCAACAGGCCAACACTTCAATGCAGTAACGGCATTCTTTTTGAGCAGCTACAATGCCTCTTTTATCTGGTCAATGTGACATTCACCACCGGTGTTCATGTGTGTTATATTTTGCATAGTTTGGTGTTTGTATTTGTAAATAAATGATTCTGATAAATATTGTTTAAATGAATTAAAAATTTTTATTGTTTTTCATAAGAAAGAATAAAAAAAGTTTAAAAATATATGATTACAAAATGGAATGAGTGAGTTCATGAGTGAGTGAGTGAGGCAAATGTCGTGTTACCATTTGAATGCTCTGTACAAATGCTAGTGGTAAAGTGATCGCACATTTGGCATGATGTTTTGGCAATCAGATATATATCGCCAATTGGCTATCAGGTGAGCTGTGACTTCAAAGACCACGTCAAACAATGTCGACAGCAAGAAAATTGCTCGTGAACTACACAACAAAGAATCGACCAACAAGATGGCAAAAAGTGTACATGGCTGCCAGAAGTGAGGGTGAGAAAACAAGTAATGTCGAATCTCCACTCACAGTTTTGTGCGTTGATTTTGAGTGAGTCGTAGATTTAGCTGGCACTGGTCGATTTGCTGATATTGGTTTGCTGTTTTGTTGTTTTTTTAGTTGGCACATGTTTGGACAATGGTCACAGTGACAGGGCGACATACTAGTGCCATCATTCATCAGCGGTGCCTCGGTGCATTTAAAAGCGGTGTCGTTCATCACTGCTCGAGGCCACTCTCTACCCACTATGGTTTCCGTTTCTTCGTTGGCCTCTAAAGTACCGTCAATTGCTACTGTGGATGGGCTACTAGGATGAAGCACCTTTCCACTGCCACTTTCCACAATCAACGGCCGGAAATTGAAGGGAATCTCTGAGAGACTGCCCAGCACTCGCATGAACTCCACTGCTGTACAATTGGCCCGTTTCAGCTTACCGCAACCGTACTCATAATCTAAGAGGTAGGCACCAAAGACGCGCACATCCTGGCACGAGGAAAAGAATGTGTTGACAAAGTGCTCTGAGATGGCGTACGTCACCTCCATCACCGTCTCACCCTTCACTCGGTCCACGCGAATGAAGTCTCGCTGGTTGGGCGCGCAAAAAAGGTTACAAAAGAGCTTCTTTACGTTGATCAAACAGGAAGGACAGCTACGTCGGATGAGGTCAATGTTGGCATTCAGTCGGGCAATTGTTTCCTCCTGTTCCGGTGAGCAGCACAGTGAGTGGCGAAGGTTCTCTGTGAAGGAAAAAGTGTGAGGTAAGATTGGGTGCATTGATTAAAGTGCTCATACTGTCGTCAAACTAATCAGTTAGTTAGTTA